CATATACGTCCGTGGCTGCGGCTTGATATCATGCGTGATTCTATGGGAACTGTCCGTAGATGCTGCCAAATACTCGGTGTAATTCCCGGCCGTAGCCAATCGATTCAGAACCGGGCCCACGTCTGTGAACCAGACGAACGAAGTGGTCTTACGTCCTGCTTACATATACAAATTAAAAACGCTTTTAAGCAATAAACCGTGAGGGGACAGTCTAAACAGTGTCGGTGAGGCAGTGGTGGTACATACGTGCGCATGCAGTGCATGCAGTGACGATGGACATCGCGTTATGACAATCATACGTGCACATGTATGTACATGAACGTAACAACTCATGCATTGCCACTTGCCTAGAACAAAGGTAAATTAGAGTGAGAGGAGATCTTATTTTCTGAGCTGAATTTCCCCCCAATATTTTATACGCAGCTTGTTTCTTATAAGCTAAAACAGAAAACAATGTGCACAGTACATCCTTTACGTAATGAGAATTTTATTTTCATTTTGACTGTGGAGCTGAACTGTTTTTCAATTATTCTTTCACGGGCTATTTGACGTGCAATTTGTTTCCTCTAAGCTAAGGCAGAAAACAGTGTTCAAAGAATGTCATACAGCAACCTCAGGCGAATTTCATTTAAAACCGGAAACTGGAGCTTAACATTTATTTTTCACATATGACTTTTCCATGGTTGTGCTTCTGTATTTTAACAAGCTCAATCTTGCCAAGAATAGAAGCCTCTTGTTTGGATGAGATGACTGAAACCATTGCCTCTTGTCATATTTTATAGTCTTTTTATTATTTCAAAGTTGTTAATTCACACTTCTCATAATAACAAGGCCATGCGCTCCAAAGCATAGGCCTATGTGCGTGTACATCACTTCTAAGGGAAAAAAAGAGGAAAAAAAAAACCGCGTCACTGCACCACTTTTGGACCAAGCCCATGACCAGACACCGGAGTCTTTGTTTTTTTGGCCTAAAGCTGTTCTTCATTTATTCGTGTCATAAAAATCCCAATGCGTAATTCCCTTAAAAGTGAATGCATAATAGACCTATACCGCTAAACACTTTTAAGCGTGAAATAGTGCCCTGATCCGCGCATGCTCATTTTGCGTGCATGCACCGGAAGTCTTAAATCTGGTTCATTTGGCCAACAAAATATTAATTCAACAAAATCACGAGCAAAATCATGAGGCATATCTGATGAGAACTTGACGAAACTTCAGGTAACCAGACACAGGGTAGCTTGCGCGAGTGAAATTTTAAAAAAATACAATTTAGTAATGCTATTCTGTTTTTGGCCACGCGTGTCCATGGAAAAGTTCGTCTTGTTCCAGCCACGATCTGAACTCTTGTAATCTATGGCTGCATCCGAATCTGTTGTCTAGAGCTACGTCTAGTAGGTCTTCGCTCCATTGGAAATGTGTGGAGACGCGTAGACAGTAGACTCAGCCGTAGCTCTGGGAGCCCGTTTCGGGCACGGCCTAGAGTCTGTAAACAAAATAGCGTCACTCCATCATATTCAAGGCGCCTTCATAGCCTCATTTTAGTATTGGACACCTTGTTTTAATGCTGATCTGTTTGGCTATCCTTTTTGGCGCGGCGGGTGTAGATAGCGCTAGAAGAGGCTTTTATACAAAAAAGAGGCAGTTTCATGTAATTGGGTCTACTTGATAAACCTCGTTGCTTTAATGCGACGAGTGCATGATTAGAGTGCAGAGATCATTAACACTCAACGTACCTGCTATCATTCTAATGCCCATGCAGGAGTCAACAGCACTTTGAACGGCGCCCACCACTTTGAGCAGGAAATCAGCAAAACAGATTTGCGTATCGTAGTTATACCAATGGTCGTCGATTTATCTTATCAAGTGCAATGTACACTCGATATCATCGGCGCATTCACTGTATTGACATGTTTCTAAAAATGCCTTTTCTATGGGTCTAACGTCCAAAACGCATAGAGCATAACAAATATTTTAGATAAAGGAATAATATTGGCTAAAAAGAATGATTATGATAATTTCAATAAAGTCTAAAGTGTCCTGATTAATACGCCTTTTGCTAACCATTACAGTGTACCTCCAGCTGATCCGAATCTTCATATGGAGCAAGATGTGAGGTCACCCGAGGCAAAGGGCTTGTGAAAAGTCAATATTACAAGGTTTTAAAGAAAGACAGAATTACCAGACTGACGTTCCTGTGAATGCTCACTTTGGTACGCTTCTGCTTGTTTGGTTGTTCTGGATTTCACACCAGACAGACAATCCATTGTCTGTACACACAGTCACTTATACTGTGACATGAGTGCCTAGTAGAAGGCCCCATAAGATGTAGTATGTCCCGGGTTCACAACGCTAAACTGAAAATAGTGCAATATGAAAATATATTGCAAAGAAAAAAATCAAACGAGCACATTCAGTGCGCGATGTCATTGGAACAATTTAAGAAAATGCTCAAAACCTACCTTTTCCACAAATAATGAAAACGATAATATATTTTCAATGTTAACTCTATTAGTGTATTAAGTTTATGTAATTATTCGATTAATTATCATTTGTAAGCGCTATGATTCAGTTTACTAAAAATAGTGTTTTAAATGCTGGTTATTATAATAATTATTACTATTTTTATGTAGTGAATACCGAGTATTCTTAAGACGTACACCTAGTCGTTTTTAAGAGGATTTTTGTGTCTTATCCGGTGTTACTCAGGTATCGTCTTCAGTCCCATCCTCATAAACTCGGCCGCTATATTTCTCTATATGGTCCTTGCATCCTTCGTGATTGCAACAGCAGGGCACCACCTGGTGCGACTTGGTCTGGATGATGGGCCGAACCATCGCGTTGAGCAGCTCCTGCATGAAGACATGCTCCTGGTTGAACTCGATCCAGACCAGGCTGGCCACCGTCACGGCAACGTCCTTGATG